TAATCTTTGATGGCTGTTCCTCTCACTGCTTGGAGTCTTAGGTAGTGAGATTTTAGTCCATCATATATTAAACTGACTTGTCTTCACTCAGGGCACCATGAGGATGGGTTGGCTGTCCGTTGGTGCCTTCTGATTTTTGCGGGGTCAAACAACTGCAAAGCAGGTGGTGACTGTAGATTAAGAAAATATCTGTAATTGAAAACCCCCACTAATTTTAAAACAGGAGGATATAATGTATAGGGAACCCTTTGATTGCAATAGTGTTTCAATAGCTCTGATCTAGGGCTGTGAAAGAACGAGCTCTAGTCAGTTGATTCTGGGAGTTACTGAAACATATTCTGAAGTCATTCATGTTGAAATTTTAAATGGCTTGCTCAGTTTTCTATTGAGTAATTGTTCACACATTTCAAAGCATTATTAAAAATATCTTTTCCTTTGCAGCATGAAGGTAGATGATTCTTCAAGTTAAAGATGGACACTGACTTTTCACACCAGAAATGGCTTATAGAATCATCTTGCCAAAATGTAAGAGGCAGCAAAGGAAAGAGGAAAATATTTTCTTCTATCATTCTTCGATTCTTTGCTAGATTGTAAACTCCATGAAAGCAAGATAACTTGCTTATCTCTAATGCCTGGCCTAGAATAGATACTCAAAAAATATTTGAGGTTATTTGAAATTTCCGTATTTTTTTTTGAATCCCTGGAAAATGGCCACCATTTTACTGGCATTTCAGCAAGACATTTATGTGGAGTAACTGGGACTTAAATTTTGACTTTGATCTATACACTATTTTGGTACCAATGAGTCTACTTAATATCTGATAATGATGCTCGATCTTTTAAAAGGCAGTGAAGAATATCTGCCAAAGCAACCTGTGTATGTGAGGAATAATATACAAAAACTTATTGATATTTAATAGGAAATCCTTTATTATTAATATTTTATTGAAAGCCTTATTGGACATTTATTATAGATTTAAATTGGACATACCAGTCAAGTATGAAGAAAAAGTCATTTTTTCTGCTGTATATTTAATGTTGAAATATTCTCAACTGTTTTGGCTCAATTATACTCAGAATTTTTTGCTCTATGTACTTTATTTATATCTGTGAGGGTATATTTAACATGTAAGGGTACAAAATATACATCCCAACATAAATCACTGTGTTGGAATGAGATGTAATACTCATGCTTATGCCAGAATCACATGATTGGTATGCGACTATAATAAATTCTGTTAGAATATGAAACCTATTCTTTAATTAGGATTCTTCTATTAAAACAAATATAAATATCAAATTAGTTTTATGTTATTTTTTGAGGGGGGTAATTATGTTTATTTAGTGGTTTAAGTGATAGGTAAGCACAAATTGTGCTGTCAGTTTATCCCAATGCCTTATGTTAGGGAGAATGGATTAAAGATCTATAAATTAAAAGCAAAACTTTAAACCCATAGAAAAGCAAAGAATATGACACTGGAGTAAACACAAAGCACAAAAAGGAAAGACTGATAAATCTGTGTACACTAAAATTCAAACTTATGTTTGTATGCCATGTAACTGACAAAGACTCCTTTTAAATCAAGAAAATGATCAAAAGATATGAATACGCAATTCATAGATGAGGATCTCTGAGTAGTCATTCACATGAAAAGATGCTTAATAACTAGTAATGAAAGAAGTGCACATTAATTAGGTGCAGCCAGTATGGAAAACAGTATGGAGATTCCTTAAAAAACTAAAAACAGTTACTGTATGATCCAACAATCCTACCACTGGGCATGTATCTGGAGAAAACTCCACTGGAAAAGATACATGCACCCCCAATGTTCATAACATTTACAATAGCCAACAATGGAAGCAACTTAAATGTCCATCAACAGATGATTGGATAAAGAAGATGTGATATATATAGCCATAAAAAAGAATAAAATAATGCCATTTGCAGCAACAGGGATGGATCTAGACATCATCAAACTAAGTGAAGTAAGTCAGATGGAGAAAGACAAATATATGCTATCACTTATATATGGAATCTAAAAAAATGACACAAGTGAACTTATTTACAAAACAGAGACTTAGACATAGAAAACAAACTTATGGTTACCAAAGGGGAATGTGGGGAGGGATAAATTGGGAGTTTGAGATTCGCAGATACAAACTACTATACACAGAATAGATAAACAACACAAGGCCCTACTGTATAGCACAGGGAACTATATTCAATAGTTTGTAATTACCTATAATAAAAATAAGACATATGTACATATAACTGAATATGCTGGATGACAAACTAACATTATAAATTAAGTAGACTTCACTTAAAACGCTGAGATACCATTTCACTGCTATCAATAGGCAGAAATGAAAACCAAACAAAACAACCCTGACACTTAAACATGTTGCTGAGGTTGCAGTAGTGGACTCTCATCTTTGCTGGTGGCAGTGAAATTTATGTTACTACTTTGGAGATTGGTTTGGCAACATCTAGTTTATTTGAAGATGGTTATATATCCAGTCTTTGGGTATCCTATAGGAGTTCTTGACGGGTACTCAAGGAGACATGTACAGAAAGTTCACTGCAGTAATCTTTATAAAAGCCTGAAACCAGTGTTCATTAGAAGAAAGAATAGATAAATTGTGGTATGTTTATAGCAATTAGCTGTTAAAATGGATTAATACAAGGTATTAAATTTACATCTCAAAAACAATAAGTTAATAGCCAACTGATAGCGTATTATGTGAGAAGATTTAGTGGTTTTAGAACATGCAAAGTTTGATGTATACACATACACTGAAAGCATAAAAGCAAGCATGAGAATGATTAACACCAAAATCTGGCTTGTTTACTTCTGGAGAGGTGGGAGGAAAATGGGACTCAATCACAGGAGAGGGTTCAGTTGGATCTGCAGCTTGTTACCTTGCTGAAAAATATCAAATGTGAGAAAGTTTGGATTTATTAAAGCTGAGTGATGGTCATTCTCCACGCTTCTGATATGCTTGATATTTAATAATAAAAACAAATATTTAAAAAGCTTTTTTGGTGGATGGGTCTCTATTCTAGCCCGACTGATTTCAGTAATATCCCCAGGAGTACCTTAGAAATGAGCCATGGAAAGGTTTGTCTATGCCATGAAAGGACACATGCCACCAAGAAACAGGTTAGGTCAGTTCCCAATGTTCTGGACTACAAGGATATTAAGACTTTATAGCTCCCTCCCTTTTTTCTATCTGGCAAAACATGTTGGCCCTCCCACTTCCCCCCTTCCCCGCCAATGTATGTATATGTATATATTTTATTCCTACAGTATTTTAGCCAAATGTGTTGGAAATCGGAAATTGAAAGACAATGGTGTGGGTAACACTAAGGTTTGGGGAATCAATAGCATGATCTTGATGAAGCAGAAAGGGATCATACTGCAGCACAAAGGTAACTTAGCTGCAATCAAAGTTAGGGACGGGTCAAAATTTTTTTTAATTCAATTTCATTTTTGTTCGTTGTTTTGCGGGGTGGGGGAAGATTAGGTTTTTAAAAAATTTATTTTAATGGAGGTGCTGGGGATTGAATCCAGCACCTTGTGCATGCTAAGCACATGTTCTACCACTGAGCTACACTTGCCCTCTGGTACTGGTCGAATTTGAATGCTTTGTGTTTTATAACTTGAAATGAGATTGTACATTATTATTGTACTTTAAGTAATATTTCTACATTTGGCGTAGTTAAAACCAGAAAATCCACAAAAGGCTCAGATAGTCAAAACATGTTAGGGATTACATGGATTACACATGAACCCCTAATCTTCAACAAACCCATTTTGTACCACTAGAATTAAGGTACTATTCTAAACTCTCAGAAGACATTTTAGGAAAAGTGTACAAAGGCCAAGATGATCCTGATTACTGTGAACCAGTTGCAAACAGACAAAAAACTAGCAGAAAGTTGTTTAATTACAGTAGGGTTTTTTTTTTTTTTTTTGGAGAAAGGTTTAGTATACAGATTCACAACCCCTAAAGGGGTTTGCTGGGCTGAGCGTCCATTGTGTTGATTTATTGGATTGTATTTTGCTAATTCATACCAGTGTCACATCATCAGGAAAGGTGGCTACACAAGACAGCATTAAGGCTTATATTCTGAGGACGCCTCATGCTCTCCTCAGCTTAATTTCTAATATGAATTCCATACAGATTGAGCAGAAAGTCATACAGTGAGCACAGAACAGAAAAGAAAGTCATAGGTAACAGCATTAGGTTAAAACAGGTACAAACATTTAAACAATTATAAGCAGGCCCAGGAAAGCACACAGGCAGATCACCTCAAAAAAGCTGTGACATCCGATCTTATCATTTCAAGAGTTGTAATTAGTGTTCATAATGCAGACTCTAAATCAAGGAAAGTTCTTTAAATGTATATAGAGGATGTGTAAAAGCTGGAAAGAAACCTATTTCAAGATGGATTAAAAAATACCCAGGCAGAATCTACTTCAATGTGGAGGTGTTACTTGTCCAAGTATAGGTATTCCATAATTTCGGGGAAGTTTTCCTGAAATACGAAAGCCTGTGCTGCCCAGCGGTACTCCCCAAATTTTCCCGGGACAAACACCTGCGTGTACTCAGAGGCTAACTTCTCAATCGCCCCCCAAACCCCCTCGGCTCTGACCTCAAAGGTTGGGTCCATGACAGCTTGGACGTCACTCCTGTGCCAGTCGAGGGCTTAAAAAGGCACACAATGACAGTATCTGCGGGGCTCCCAAGTGGGAAACCTAGACCAGGCTCCGTTAGCTTCGTGCACTGAGATGCGCGTTCGGGTGGGCGTGCCGCCCACAGTCCCGTGGCCACAGCCGGCGGGTCCCAGCATCCTGAGCGGCGGGAACCCTGTCGCCCACTACCCAGCAGGCCCCGGGGCGCTTCCGCGCCTGCGCCCTCGGACGTGGTGGTGACGCCCCCGGCGAATCCTCGCTCGTCGTGGACTTGAGGAGGCAACGGCGTTTTCCCGCGCTTTTTCTGGACGCCTCAGGTTAGGTATTTTATTTATATTATTATTGTTGATATTCTCTCTGTCGAGCGTGGAAAGCAGGCCGCGAATTTGAAGTTTTGGTGAGTCTAATTCTCAAACTTTGGTCTTCTGTAACTTGGACAGATTACTAAATTGGCTCTCCCCCCCCGCCACCACCTTGTGGAAAATTTGGAATTAGCTGCGCTTCTCTCTCTGCCTGAGGAGGGTCTCAGCTTCCAAATTGTCCCCAGCTCTTCCCCAATGCACATGACCCAGCTGGAGGTAAATTAGACCTCATAACTCCCGCTACCAGGTGCCACACACCTGTGGAGACTCACTCAGCGGGGACATTGGGGTTCAGGGGTCAGAGCGTCTTTGTCCACCCCTAGGACCAAGGCAGCAGTCTTGACAGATTTTACCAGTTCACAAATGTGAACATTGTCCCTTGGCATATAATTAGTGTGTTACTGTTGTTTTATACAATATATGACTTATTTTGATATGCTCAGAATATGGCTGCCTAGTTTGGGTTAGTAAAACGCCAGTGAGAGAGGGCACTATGTTGAATAATAACTGAATCAAGTGTATTTGTATAGCTTTACAAATGTTTTAAATAGAAGCATCACATCGAATAGTATTTATATTAATAGATGAATTGTTTAATTCGTGATACAATCTGCTTTTATATATATTTTCAGGCTTCATAATGATCAGGTACTTGGATGAATTAGGTTAGTTTCCATTTAATACTATCAGGTTACTACTCTTTTTTAGTCAAGGCAACACAGGTAAAGAATCTGAGGGATCAGCATATGTGCAAAAACTAAAAATGTAACTTAAAATACTTTGCACTAAAGAATAACTGAAATCAGTGCCTGGACTTTTATATCTGCCAAGTGTGACAAGTGATATTAAAATATTCTAGCAAATTATGAATGGGTAACAAATGTGGATTTTTGTTTAGATATTGAGGCATGGCAAAAAGCACTAATTTAATTTTTATTTGTTTGTACCTTGTAAATGTTCCTAAACCTTTTTTTCCACAAACATTTTATCTTTGACTTGTAAGTGAGATTTGAAACACCTGTGTCTTTAACTTTTTCCTTAAAAATTTTTTTCATGGTCTTTGTAGTGGTTTGCACAAAGGAGCACAATGTTGTTGACTGATTGAAATCACTAGGATAAATTGATTATAATAAATATAAAAACATAATAAAAGGTACATTATTTTGTCATCATAAAATGAAGACTTCCTTTCCTCCCTCCCTCTTTTCTTTCTTTCTTCCTTTCCTTCCTTCCTCCCTTCCTTCCTTCCTCTCTCTTTCTTTCTCTCTTTCTTTCTTTCTTTCTTTCTTTCTTTCTTTTCCTTCTTTCCTTCTTTCTTTCTTTCATTTTACTGCAATTTGACTTTTTCGTTTACCCCTTATTAGGATTCTTTCAGCATCTGGAGACCTCATTGTCTACCATGTCTTTGTGTGAAGACATGCTGCTTTGTAATTATCGCAAGTGTCGCATCAAACTCTCTGGTTATGCATGGGTCACTGCCTGCTCTCACATATTCTGTGATCAGCATGGCAGTGGTGAGTTTAGCCGTTCACCAGCTATCTGCCCTGCCTGCAACAGTACTCTTTCTGGAAAGCTAGATATTGTCCGCACAGAACTCAGTCCATCAGAGGAATATAAAGCCATGGTATTGGCAGGACTTCGACCAGAGATTGTGTTGGACATTAGCTCCCGAGCATTGGCCTTCTGGACATATCAGGTTAGTGCTTAGGCTGGTTTCTTTGGAGAGTATGATTTCCATTTATTCACTCTTTTTCCTATTTAGTCATTCAACATATATATTTTTTTGAATACCACGAAATACCTATATCTCACTTACCTTCTTAGGTGCTGGGTATACAGTAATGAACAAAACATAATGAGCTTCAAGAAAGCTACAGTTTAGTGGTGATAAAGATGAAGAGGAAACCTAGACATTTACAATATGTTTTTAATGCCTACGATGATAAGGGAAGTAGCGAGTACTATGGGACCACATAATAGGGACAGGTAACCCAGACTTAGTAGAGTTATATCAAATTGTAACTCTAGAATGAGGCAAATTAAAAATGGTTAAGAAAAAGAAAAGTTGTCATATTTCACTTTCTATCAATATTTAAGAGCAGTGAATCCAAAGATAAGCCAAAATTGGTTTCTGTGTGTAGTAGTTGTCTATTGATGTATAACAAGCTTAGTGGCTTAAACAGCAAATTTAGTGGACTAAAACAACACACATTTGTTATCTCAGTTTCTGTGGATCAAGAGTCCAGGCATGGACTCTATTCAGGTTCTCACAAGACTGCAGTCAAAGTGTTGACAGGAGCTGCAGTCTCATTTGAGTCTTGGCTGGGGAAGAATCTGCTTCCAAGCTCACATTGTTGTTGGCAGCATTCACTTCCAATCAGTCTTTTATTTTCTTTCTTTAATGGGCTACAGTTTTTAAGCATTTTTAGGTTTGTAGCAAATTTGAGAGGAGGGTGCAGAGTTTTCCTGTATATCCCTTGCCTGCACATGCATAGCCTCCCTCATTATCAACATCCCCCACCAGAGTGGTACATTTGTTACAAATGATGACACTACGTTGACACATCACTATCACCCGAAGTCCATTGTTTACATTAGGATTCTCTCTTTGGGTTGTACATTCTGTGAGTTTGGACAAATGTATAATGACATGGAAGCAACATGATAGTATCATACAGAGTAGTTTCACTGCCTGAAAAATCTGTGAACCACCTCCAAACCCTGGCAACCACTGATCTTTTTACTGTTTTCATAGTTTTGCCTTTTCCAGACTGTCATAATTGGAATCATACAGTTTGTATCTTTTCAGGTTGGCTTCTTTCACTTAGTAATATGCATTTAAATTTCCTCCACGTTTTTTCATGGCTTGATAGTGTTCATTTCTTTTTAGTGTTGAATAGTGTTCTTTCATTAGATTTACCATAGTTTATTAATTTACCAATTGAAGGACATCTTGGTTGCTTCTATCTTTTGGTAGTTATGAATAAAGCTGCTATACATATCTGTATGCAGGACATACATTGTCAGCTCCTTTGAGTAAATACTAAGGAGCATAATTACTGGATTGTATGGTAAGAGTATGTTTATTTTTGTAAGAAATTGCTAAACCATCTTCCTAAGTGGCTATAACATTTTGCATTCTGACCAGCAATGAATTCCTTTTGCTCTACATCTTTGCCAGCATTTGGTTTTGTCAATGTTCTGAATTTGTGTTATTCTAATATGTATATAGTGATATCTCATTATTGTTTTAATTTGCATTTTCCTGATTACATATGATGTGGAGCGTCAACGTGTAATCTGTATATCTTCTTTGACGTAGTGTCTGTTAAAGTCTTTGACCCATTTTTAAATTGGATTGTTTTCTTATTGTTGAGTTTTAAGAGTTCTTGTGTATTTTGGATAACAGTCTTTATCAGATGTCTTTTGCAAATATTTTCTCTCAGCCTGTGGCTTGTCTTTTTCTCTTGACATTGTCTTGTGCAGAGCAGAAATTTTTTATTTTAATGCAGTCTGGCTTACAGTTATTTCTTTCACAAATTGTGCCCTTGGTGTTGTATCTAAAAAGGCATCACTAAACCAAACCCAAGGTCATTTAGATTTTCTGCTGTTAACTTAAAGGAATTTTATTGTTTTCATGTTTTACATTTAGATCTGTAATAAATTTTGAGTTAGTTTTTATGAAGACTGTTAAGTCTATGTTTAGATTCATTGTGACCTCAGTATTTTGCTGGCTTTTGTCCAAAGGCTGCTGTTAGTTACTTGCCTTGTTGGCCTTCCATGAACCTGGCCACTTCTCTTCCAGCAAGAGAGAGAGTGTGCTAGTAAGACAGACCCTGTGTTCTTACGTAATGTACTCATGTAGTGATATCTTGTCATTTTTCCTGTATTCTAGTCATAGGCTCTGCCCACACTCAAGGGGAAGATATAAGTACCAGGAGGCAGGGATAATTGGCTGCTATCTTGTAATATGTTCTCCACACTGTGGATTACTTGAAATATAGCATTATATTTCTTAGAAACCATTGGGCTACATGTCACTTGTTAAGGTTAGACAAATACTTCTTTTGTTGGTGTGATGGTAGTGGCTCGAGAGTATTCCTCCTGATACCTTTTCTATGCATTTAGCGACATAGTGTATTATTTTCTGTAATAACCATCCTATCGTTCATCCTAATTGCTTCTTAACCTGGTTCTAAACTTTAAAGTAATAACATCCCAGTATGTGTGTTTTTCTTTTATTTTTGTGTTTGTATAACGTTAAATTATATAACTTTGCATTTATTACCTTAAAAATCTTTCTTTTCTCTCTTGGGACAGGTACACCAGGAGCGTCTCTATCAAGAATACAATTTCAGCAAGGCTGAGGGCCATCTGAAACAGATGGAGAAGATATATACTCAGCAAATACAGAGCAAGGATATAGAATTGACCTCTATGAAAGGGGAGGTCACCTCCATGAAGAAAGTGCTTGAAGAGTACAAGAAAAAGTTCAGTGACATCTCTGAGAAACTTATGGAGCGAAATCGCCAGTATCAAAAGCTGCAAGGCCTCTATGATAGCCTTAGGCTACGAAATATCACTATTGCTAATCAAGAAGGCACCCTGGAACCATCCATGATTTCACAGTCTGGTGTTTTTGGCTTCCCATTAGGTAAGAAAGGACATGTGATGTCCAATATCCAGTTTTTAAATCAGTCATTTTTCTCACTGTGCTCTGCATAGTTCCAAGCAGTTAGTGGAGATTCCAGAGACCTGGAGTGGTAGTAGGCTCTAGGTTGGTTCTCATCTATGTCTTGATCTGCACATCATTACTTTTATCTATTTTATTTGCTTACATTTAAGTTGCATCTTCAATTTGAATAGAGAGTAAGACTGTCCAAATTAAAGTTTGCAGATTGACACTTCAAATGAAAAACTATTGAGTTGCAGTAACAATAATATTAACTGCCACTTACTGATTCCTTACTAAGTGCTAGGCACTGTTATAATTTTACATGTGTTTGTGTTATTTTCAAAACTTCATGAGATAGGTATTATTATGATCACCCCTATTTTATAGATGAGTAAACTGAGGCACAGAAAGTTTAAATAAATCGGTCAAGGTCACAGAGCTATCTTCAGAGCCCACAATCTATTTGCCATTTTTCGAGAAGGCCATGTTTTAGTTTCTTTCACATGGAAATACTGATTGTACAGTTCTTAAGTTACTGTCAGTTGTTTGATTTGTTTGTTCTTTTGTTTATTCACTCATACATTCATCAAATATTTATCAAACATGTTTCACATGCCAGGCTACTAGGCATAATTCTAGGCAATGAGGATATAAGGATTATCCAGATAGGATTCCTGCCTTCTGGAAATGCACAATCTAGTATGATACTAGCTTTTCTTCTTGTTAGGTGCCTTGTTAGATGCAGTGAATCTCATATTTCTTCCTGAGTTCTCCCCTTTCTACTCTTCTTGGTATAGCAGAATCCAGTAGGTTTTTACTATGCTATTAATAAATAATTTGGGGCACATAAAAAAGTAAAGCTTCTTGTGCTGTATTTTCCTAAACACTCATTTTTTTGAAATTTATTATGGGCCAAGGAAAAAGATTCAGTCGGGAAGGAGATGATGTCCTAGAGAAGGCATGAAGTAATGAGATGAAGCATATCAGATATGAGAATTGAAACAAAAACAAGTTTCTGCTTAACTTTCAGTTAATCTAATTTAGTAGATCAAAGTGGTACTGTATATGGATATTGTAGATGTTCTCATTTTTTCCTTGTCACTATCCACATTTATTTCGCTTTCTTTCATTTTTACCAGTTCTTTCCTATTCCTCTTTTTGTGCACATTTACCTTTTTTTACCTCTTGCTACCATTATTGGCTTGAAGCAGATATATTCAACATTCTCCTTTAGTTATGTGTTTCCTTTAAAACCTGTAGAAGCCAAGGAATGGTTCAGAGGAAGTTGTTAAATGCTTATTTAATCAGGTCTATTGTGTAATTTTTCTAAAGGCTATTCTAAATGATCTTGGGTCATGAATATGTGCCAGGATTTCATAGTTGTTATATAGTTTTTAATGTTTATAGAAATCTAAAAAAAATTTATCCTTAAAGAACCTGGGACAAGTTTATACACAAACACACACACACGAATATATATGATATCCCTTTGACATAGATTAAGTAGATAACAAATGAATAAAATCATGATACTGTAAATTCTAGTTCTACTAAAATATTTCATTGTGTCTAATTACTTTGGTGATGAGGTAATGGCTGTCATTGGAAACTGCACACAGAAGAAAGTATGATATGTATACTGTGGTCAGGAGAAGAGGCCATCATAGCCCTTTTCTTTATCCAACATTAGGTTTATGTTTTATCCATCTCATAGGAGTTGAGTTCTGGTAAAATATTTATGGAATGACTTTGTCTTTTTGTTCCAAAAGATCTGTAAGGAAATAGATGCTTAAGTTCTTCCCTTATTTTCTCCTAGGGAACAACTCCAAGTTTCCTTTGGATAGTACACCCGTTCGAAATCGAGGTGGTGGAGATGGTGATTTTCAGTTCAGACCGTTTTTTGTGGGTTCTCCCACAGCGCCTGAACCCAGCAACAGCTTTTTCAGTTTCGCCTCCCCAAGTCGTGAGTTAGAGCAGCAGCAAGTCTCTAGCAGGGCCTTTAAAGTAAAAAGAATTTAGCTCACCTTACAGAAGTTTCTCTGTTAACTTTCAGTGATTTCATTTCACAGATAATCTTTATTCTAGGTAGGAGTCACCAACCTCCATGTGTTTGCTATTGAGTCTTTGAAATTATCTTCACATTTTCAACTTATAAGAAACTCAGTGTCAGTGGGGGTTAGCTTTAGAGTCTGGTTTCTTACTCTGTTTCTATTATTTAAGGCATGAGCATTTGATTAAACTCAATTTTATTATGAACTGTCAAGTTTTCACCAGCAGTGAAAAGCTTACAGTATTATTGGGTGTTTTGTAGATCGCCATTCGTTTCTGTCTAGGATATTTCTGACTGAGACATGTTTAAGCATAAATATATAAGCACCTATGTCATATGTCAGCATGTCACTTTGGGTTCTGGTATTTATACGTGCATGTGTATGTATGTTCCTTTACATTGATATTTTGCTATATTTGACAGTATATTTATGTGAAGATTTTGGTTTTAGGAAATGGTGAATCTGTAGCTTGTTCTTTGGGTGTGTACAGTTATTTGTATACATTTAATGCATTTGCCCTTGTATTAACTCATTTGGAGGTGTTCTCATGTCGATGAATGAGGGTACAATTTGAGGCATGTATGTATGTTCTGTTCCTGTTTAATGATTCACACTGATAAAGCTATTTTGTGAAGTTGATATTTTGGCATTTATTTTAAAATAAAATTACCTCTTTCTTTACTCTTTTGCTTGCTGTTGCCCTGGGTCACTTATTTAGGAATGCACTTCTGCAGAAAACTTACCAATATGTTATTGATCTCAAGAGATTATATTAAAATACTTTAAAAGATATATTCCTTGTTTGTCTTTATTAAACAGTGATCATTTCTGACTACTATCACAGAAAACTTATTTAAAATGTAGAGCCAAGGAAGAGATTTGAAGGACATTTTCAGTAACTTTCCATCCTGTTAGGGGCAAGACTTGAAATCATACTGGTTGCATAGGCAGAACATCAACGTTCTAGTTACAGTTTTTTTTTTTCATATGTTTGTTGTGCAAGGTTGAGTTTAAACTTGCCTTTGTAGCTACATCTGTAAAGTGAGGTATTGAATTAAGTTATCCTTACAGCCTTTTTTAACTCTTAGATTTTATGATTTATTGTTGGAGGCTTGGGAAGAACTACAATGGAATTACCCTAAATGCCAGATACCATTGTTTTGTAGGTAATAAACTCATACTGAAATCATTTGAGGATGTTTTACATTCAGTCATTGCAGAAAGGCAAGTGAATACCCTTGCTTTACATAATTTAATAGCAAGCAAGTAATGTTTTCTTCTTTAGGGGTATATAATATAAAGTCTCTTCAAAAATATTTTTTACTGTACCCTGAAGTTTTCAACCTTTTATGGTGTCTGAGAAAGAGGATGAAAAAATCATGACGTAAAAGTTTTAAAACATTCCTATTTCATCACTCATTACACAGATTTTATAGATTACAAAATTTTTTCTCCCCTATACAGTTTTAAATTTTGTTGGAAAGTAGTTTGAAGAAATAATTTTATGTGGATTTATGATTTCTCCCCTGAATCTTTGCTTCCTCCTTTGTCAGGTTCACAAAATCAATCTGAAGTACAAGTAAGCTATAATTAAAACTAAAATGTAAAGAAAAACTGGTGGACTATTACATGATAATTTTTTAAAAAGTTATTTATTGAAGAGTTTAATACATTCACATGGTACAAATTCAAAAGTTACAAAAAAGGTATACAGTGAAAATTCTACCATTTACCCCTGTCCCCCAACCACTCACTTCCCCTTTCTGGAAGCAATTACTGTTGCTAGTGTCGTGTGCCTCTTTCAGAGATAGTCTTTTTTATTTAAAATACTTTTTTATTTAAAAATTATGTTTATCTTTGACTAGATAATACATGCACATGATAAAAAATTCAAAAGTGTACACAGTGCAATGTTCTTTGCCTAATGACAACACTCAGTCCCCCTGTCTCCCTCTCTAGAGACAGTCATTGTTTTTCGTACCCTTCGGGATATAGTCTATCAGTATATAAGCATTATTAGTGTACTAATATATATATACTATTAGTGTATTAGTGATGGCTTTCATAATGCCATCCTAAGTGTAGTTAAATAGATTTATTAGGATGGTGTTCAAAATTATAAAATTGCTTGTGTATAGAAAATCACTATAAAGTCTGGAAAACATTCAGACAAATTAAATTACCTTACCATTGTACTAAACTTCCTTCAAAATTTTAAACTTATAACACTGGCGTCTACTATTTTAATCTGTCTTCTTTTGGGTATTATAATCTTGGTATAAGTAAACAGGCAGATATGAAACAAAATATGCATGAACCAAGATGAGAACGTTGTTTCCAGGATTTGGAGAAGAAACAAGTTTATGAACTCAGAAGTAATTACAGACCAGGTCCTTGAGCTATACGGATTGGATTAAGTTGGTTTGGAGCGACGCCGTTCCTTGAAAACCAGCCCCTTTCCTCAGGTGCAGTTAAGCCTCCAGACCTCTAGATGTCGCTGTGGCTCCACGATGGGGGTAGGTGTGAGTCTCTGTGGTTATAAAGTTAGGGGCGGAGAAGCCGAGGCGGCTGGGAAATGATGGCTGATGAAGAGGAAGAAGTCAGGGAGATCGTGCAGAAATTGCAGGTGGGGCCAAAGGTTAAAACCTGTTTCTGCGTTTGTTACTTGGGAAGAAGTAGAGAGCCCAGTTTATGCAGTACCAGTGAATTCCTTGGCATATTCCGGACGCTGCTTGTGTCCGTGTGGTTACTGTAACTACTCTCGAAGGTGCAGCCGCAGCCTGCTAGGGGAGCCCCGCGGACTAGGGGAGGGACGCAACCCGTGTGTGTTGGGAACTCCTGCTGCTGACCTGACTGCTCTCAGTTTCAGTCCTGCAGGGAGGAGGATTTGCTGCTCCTAACTTTATTCCTGTGCATTCTTAGAGACTTTTTTCCTGGATTCACCCATAACAAATAGCATACACTTGTGTATGGCAGATCTGCAGGAGCTAATATCTGTCACATGTTTTGATCGCCACAAAGGCCCTTTCTTCATTACTTTTCTGTTTTTAAATTGACAACAATCACAGTAATGCCTTGAACCGCATGTATTCTGGTTATTCCCCTTAGAATTTGACAGTTTTGATTTTTTTCGCCTACTGTGCAATTCCAGTTTGGGGTCTGATGCAGAGGGCTCCAGACTCCACCCAGTCCGTAGTTGACCGTGGTGACTGGAACAGTCTTGTACTTGGTAGGTAGGAGCTAACTTATTACTTGGCTCTTTATCTTTCTTTTAATAACCGAAGGTTTTTCTTAAACTTCAGAAACTCAGTTCTTTGAGTTCTAAGATAGACAGATTTAAACATTAGACTTATGACGGGCTTCTAAACTTTCTTAAAGGCTTCTACTGCAAAAGTTTAAACTTTGGTGAGATTTGGTCTTTTTTTTTGAGATTTGTTTCTTGAGCAGATTAAAATAATAACATATTTTTAAAGTGTGAGCTTTATCCCACATCCAGTTGACTTGGATTAATTTAATTTTATTCCTTAGTGTGACTGACAGAAATCAGAGATTATCAATCTTGGCTCCATATTATAAACATTGTGTGTGTATGTATATTTGTATATGTGTAGAAAAAAACCTGAAAAGGTAAACCAAACAGTAGTTATCACTGAGGTTATTGGTGTGATTACAAGGAATTTTTACTTTGTGTTTTTCACATGTACCTATTTGGATTTTAACAACTTATATATATAGATTTTGGTGAGAAGAAAGTTATTAAAAATGTTTACTCCAGCAAAACAAACCAACAACAAATCCATACAATTTTGTGCATGTTTGCTGTAACAGGTTAAAAAGAGTAAGACCTCTATAATTCTTATAATTCAAAAGGAAATGGGTTGTAATTTTTGCTGAGAACTGTATTTTCCCGCTTTCATTTGTGATAGATGCCCTGAGCCGCTAGGTGCAGGATACTTGGGATATCTTGAAGGTGGTGGGGAAGGTGCAGAAATGGAATAGGGGAATGGAGTAGAGAGAGGAAAAGGATAGTGGTGTTGCTATTCATGAGGATGGTGATAAGCTTTATTACGTTGTTATAGACATTTTAGGGTAGAAGGAATGTAAAAAGGGTATTTCTCAAAGTGTGTTTTATAGATCATTTTTATTAAAGTCATATAGGGTGCTTGTTCAAATACTGAATTTTGAGTTCTGCTAGAACTACTAAAGTCAGAATCTCTGTAGGCTGGGTCCTAGAAGTAATACACACAATAAAACTTGAAAAGCATGGTTGCAAGAGGTGCTTGTCTAATTTCATTCCGGGTAGGATTTTAAATTAAGTATAGTACATAAGTAGTTGTTAGAGAAAGGGAGATTCATTAGTTAATGAGAGCTTATCATGTCCGAGGCCCTGTTGTAGTGCTCAGGTGTAGCTCTAAACGAAACAGATTAAGACCCTCTCATCATGGAGTTTACATTCCAGTGGTGGAGACAGAAAAGGAACAATTAATGCACAGGCCACATAATTTCAAATAAGTGCAATGAAGGAAAATAGAAGTGTGATTTAACAGTGGCGCAGAGGAGGAAGGGTTACTTTTGTTGGAGTAGTCAGGGAAAGCCTCTCTGAGAAGTTCACATTTTAACTGAGATCTAAATAATGATAAGGAATGAGCCCTGCAAAAGTCTGGGGAAAGAGTAGCCAAGCAGAGGGAACAGCATGTGTGAAGTGGGATTGTGCTTAGCAGATTTGAGGAACTGAGTGAAAGCCACTGTGGCTTGAGTTTTATAGGAGGGAGAGTGGCAGGAAGTGAAGTTTGTGGTGGGGTGCATAGTGGGAGGTCAGATCATACAGTCTTCTAGGCCATAATAAGGAGCTGGATTTTATTCTGACCGCAGTGGGAAACTATCTGAGGATTTGTGATATGATGTACATTTGTGTAAGGTCACTCCAACTATAGTGAGGAGAATGGGAAAGAGAAATAAGATGAATTTAGAAGCAATTGAAATGGTTCGGGCAAATAATGATGCTGATTTAGTTGAAGATAGTCCTAGAGAGGTGAAGACAGGCGGATGGATTTGGGATGTGCTGTGGAGGTCATTGATAAGACTTGGTAGGATTGGATTATACCTGTCTGCTGCTGTTTTGTTTTAGGAAAGAATAGATAATGGAAAAGCTTTGACTGGTGTCACAGGAAGACTCAGAGGTAGAGATATTTAAGAGGAAAGAGAACATCTACTTGTAAACAGTGCAAGAGAGCCAGAAGGTGACTTAACAAAACAAAGGAAACAAACAAAAAAAACCTACAAGAAACAAAACTGCAAAAAACACCAAGTTTATCAAGGTTAAGTCAGTTTGTTGTGGAAAACGACTCTCACATGTTTATGTTCACAAAGGTCATGTATTTTCAGATACTGGCATAGGGAAAATGAGGCATAAGGGATTGTTTTTGTGAGGAAGTCCAGTTTTAAGGGTAAATTCCAAAGTTTTATACTTTGGGGATCAGTACCAGTTAGGATGATCTTATTAACTTTGTTTTATCTCAAGTTGCAAAAGTGTTTCCTCCCTCTTGACTATAGTATGTGAAATGCTTAGTCATATTGGAAGCTCTGTTGGGACTGGGAGATAAAGAACTAACATCATGGTATATAGGCTGGCTTGGAATAATGAGAGTGGGCTGGGACACTGGCTACTTTCCCTCATGCCC